TGTACATGGCTGTAGTTAGGCTTGTATATATGCCCTTTGCCTCCTACTTCTTTCCTCTATTTCTTTGCAGCTTTGACTCTAATGTTTATTTGGCATTTAGTTCACAGGCTTCAGGATGCTACAGGACTGCTAAAAGTTGGGGTTTATTCGGGTGTTGATCAGCAGGCCCAGTACGGTCCCTCTGTAAAACCAGACCAGGCTAGATTTCCTCTGAATTTTCCCAGCTGGATTGTAGTGTGTGTTTCTTCCATTATACCCTGCTGTTTGGCTAGCCTGCGTCTCAGCAGGCTGCACTGTGCTCCCCAAGGAGCGCTTTCCTAGTGTAACTGAGGAGGCTGTGCCTTTCAGTACACAGAAGCAGGACCACCTATAGTGCTGCTTTTTCTTTTGTGATGCTGATTTTAGAATTGGCTTGGTCTAAATCTAAAGACAGGATTTAGAATCTGTGAAAGCCTTGCGTTTCAAATCCCAACCTTTTCCTTCTGTGTAGAAAACCAGTTGAGGTGAGTATTGGGTTGTTTTGGTAATAACTGCAGAAATTTTGCTGCAGGGACTGATTTTGCTGCTTCTTCTACACAGGATGTAGGAATGAGTGACACTGCCATGACATCTTTCCTTGGCTCCTGCTTGGATCTTCTTCAGGCCCTACTGGAGGTAAAAATGCTTCCATAGGAAGAAACTGTTTTGACACAAGACTTTAAAATGGTAGTGTTTCTGACTAGACTCGGGGTGCTTTTTCTTACAATTCCATAGAAAAAAGTGTGTGCACTTCATTCTTGGTAAACTCAGCAGGCTATTTACCAGCTACTATTGGCCCAAATCTGAGCAGAGTTCTTCCTTGTTCAATGCCATAGGCAGATGTTAACAGGGAGGAAATGCAGGTGCCCATCCTGGACACCGAGGACGCCTGGCTCTCTGTGGAAGGCCCCATCTCCATCGTGGAACTGGCCCTGGAGCAAAAGCACATTCACTATCCGCTGGTGGAGCACCACTCCGTCCTGTGCTCGGTCTTGTACGCGGTTATGAGGTTTGCCCTGAAGACAGTGAAGCCCCTTTCGCTCTTTGATAGTAAGGTAAGCCCACAGACCTAGGGCTTCAGGGGGTTGCAGCTGCAGCTTTTGCAGGTACGGAGTGATTTGAAGTGGTTCAGTGCTTTTGACTTTTTTTGTGGGTTCTTTCTTACGGGTTTTCGGCTTCCTTATTCCCACCAGATTTCCTATTCATGCCTTTCTAGTCTCTGTCTTCTGATTTGGCCGTAAATATCAGTGTTCCACAGAGCTTTCTCTTCTCTGCACTCTATACAGTCTGCCTGGACAGACTCGCGGTCTCCCTATCCTGTCTGTGAGTCTGGCCCATCCCCAGAGCATAAGACACATCTCCCTGCTCAAAATGTCCGGTGGGACTGCACACTTGTCACCATCGCCCCCACTGGCCTGAATCTGTTGTTGCTCCTGAATGACACCTTGCTTATTTGATCACTGATGCCATGGTTAGGGTAGTGGGTACACGGCAAACATTGAAGTTTTCTGTCTCAGCTTCCTGCTTATAGCCCCATTTACGATAAATTTATTCTCCTAATTTCTTTCTTAGAACCATATCTTTCCAATATCTTTCACTCCAAAGATTTAGTTGACGCCTCTCATCTCCCCTTTGGCTTTTACAACAGCCTGCTACCACGTCACCTTGCTCCAGTTTATGTCGACCCAGTCTCATGCTGTGCCTTCCCAAAATGCAGATCGGATTCTTTTGATTCCACGCTGAAGACATTTGGCACCACTGCAGCATGAAGGGGCTCGATAACACAAAATCCTTTTGCCATTCGGTTTCTGAATAGGATACAGGCATAGGGTTCGGATTAACAGAGGTCAGTCAGAATGTCAGCTTTATGCTTTAGCTCTCTCATGAAAACGAGGTTGGAAAACATGGCTTTGGGTTCTTTGGACATGTGGCCTTATTGTGTCACTGTTACATCTGAGACCTGCACACGCCAGCATTGGCACAGCCGCCCACCTGCAGGCTTCCCTCGTGGACTGGCCCCAAAGAGAGAATGTGTGCTCCCCGAGGGACGAATGCCCCCTTGGTTTCACACACGCACGCGCCTCCCCTCAGTGAGGAAGAACACTGTTCTACTGGACCTATGCTGAGCAGATGCTGGGAGACAAGACAAAGTGGCTTCCTCCACAGCCAGTACCTTCTCTTTCCAGCCTTACCAGCCATCCCTGCTTACACCCTGTGCTGTAGCCACTGTTAGGTACTCTACATTCGTCAGAGAAGGCGCGCGTTCTCATCACTCCTGTCATTCGTGTGGTCCTATTTTCACAGGCAATGGTTGAGTTTGGCGGGCTCCGGTTTCTTCAGTGATCGCTGCAGTGTCGCCTCCTCTCCAAGTTCTTTGTTAATACTCAGTCCCTTGTTGCTTTGTACCCTTTCCATGCCCATCCCTGCACATAGAGGAAGAAGCATATAACTAAGGAGGAGCTTATGAAGTCACTTGGCTGCAGGGGGAGGGAGGGGAGGAACTTGTTGCACATCACGAGTGACGACCTGAACCTGGGGGGGGGGGTGTTGATACAAATTAGAGGGGATTTGGAGGAATCATTAACCTAATGACAAGCTGGTTATAATGCTGAGAGAGAGAGCGAGAGCGGGCTTACATGAAATCCACTTTTAATAGGGGCAGACCTGAGACGCTACTAACAAATCCATTTAGCAAGATTTTGGACATGTTATAATTGAGGTTATATCTAAACAGGGACAATGTGTGTTTTAACAAATTTGTTTCTGATAAGTAACATTTAACATGTAGATCCCGATAATTTAATTTTGAAAAGGCTGCATCTGATGACAAATTTAATTTTCATAATAAAATAGTATTAAATCATTATGTTTGTAAACAGGTTGTCTATATTTTGAGATTGAAAAAGGAAAGAGTAATTAAGTTTAAAAAATAAGCAACAACAGAAAACCACAATAAAGTGCCTAGCTTAATAAACCTTTCTCAAAACCCCTTCTGCTGCTGTTCCTCTCATCCTCGCAGCAGTGCTCAGGTGTGTCCGTGAGGACCTGAGTCCCATCCACTCTAGAGGGAGGCTGTCTTCCCTGAGGGAAGCCTGTAGGTGTGTTGCTGTACCCGTGCTGGCGCATGTAGGTCTCAGGTGTAAATAGCACACCTTGGTTTTAGTGGAGCCAGAACACATTCCCCATGGGGCAATCACAGTGTGGTATTGGTCCCGATCCATCTCATGCTGAGATATGAGACAGTTGTTTATCTCAGATCGACAACTAGAGAGACAGTGTCGCTGGGAAGAGGGAGTCTCTAGGGATACATTCAGCTACTCACCAAAAAGTAGTAGGTTTGAGTGGATCCAGAGGCACCTTAGGAGAGAGGCCTGGCTTTTACTTCTGAAAATTTGCCATTGAAAATGCTTTCGATCCTAACTCTACCGACACATAAAGAAAAGTGGTTGTGAGTTCCAATCAACTCAGCAGGGACTGGTTTGGTGGTTAGTGAAGCAGATTCCCAGGTCTGCCATTTATTAGCTGGAATTCGTTTCTCATGGCTTCCATTTTCTCACTTAGATGATTTTACTGTCCCCCTCGTGGCATTGTGAGGGTTATATGGTGTACATGACAAGGTGTATGGAACATAGGACATTGTTCAGTGCACTTGTACACCCCACCCCAAAGGCTCTCATGTACCAATAGACCCTTATGTATAAAACTATCTGGTGGGAACACAGAGTAACAGATTGTGAGTGTGTGGGATAGCTTTAAACAGTCATGTCCAAAGTGTAGTTAAGGGGTCCTGAGAAGTCTGACGTTTCTCATCACTAAAGCACAAGAAGCTTTCCCCAACACAGCAGTCACTAGTGGACTAGAATCAACAGATGAATGAGTCTCCGAGGTCCGGTAGGAAAAAGTCTCGTGTTTCTTATAGGTAGATGAAGAATAGTGCCCCAGGATGATGGGGTTATTTGCACAAGAGAACTTGGTTAGAGAACCTGGGACCAGGATTTAGACCTTACACCCTGAAGGCCACTGTTCTTTTCTCTCTATTTTCTTTCCCCAAACTTAGAAAATCCTGTTTTCTGATACTGTGTTTTGGCTTTTCAGATACATCTGTTCTCTTTAACAAGGTGTTTTAAAACAGATCAGTAAGTATTTTTTAAAGGATTCAGAGTTTAAGCTACATATTAGTTAGCTATTAGTTAACAAATCTAAAACTAAATTACTTAAAACAGTATTTATGGGTCAGGAATGTAAGTTCTTGGTTCAAGTCCTTCCATGGGACTGTATTTAGGGTCACTGTCCAGAGCTGCAGTCTTACCCTGAAGGTTCAACTGCGATGAAGCAGACCACTTCAAGCCTACGTCGCTCGTTAGCAGAGTTCAGTTCCATGCTGCAAGGGCCTCCTCTGGGACAGCTTACGACCTGGCAGCAGTTTCTCTCAGTTGAGTCACACTGACTGTGAGCACACAAAGTAGAAGCCACAGCCCTTTGTAACCTTGTGTTGGAAGTTACAGGCTTTCTGTGTTTTTGAGGGGCTAGCCAGGAGCCCATTCTCCGGGAGGGAGGTTGAGACAAGGTATGCATTTCAGGAGGCGGGGCTCTGGAGAGCATCCTGAAGGCACATGCTAATAAATGTCTTCAAAAAATGGAATTACTATAATTTGGAAATTTTATTGTTTGTAGAGGGGTAAGAAAAGTTATTCCTGATTAAGTGTCTTGTTTTTTCAAGCACCCACCCCCTAACAATAATCTATACTCATTTTGTTTCCTCAATCTTTTTTCTCATTAGGGAAAAAATGCATTTTTCAAAGACCTAACATCGATTCAGTTATTACCCAGTGGGGAAATGGATCCAAATTTTATTTCTATACGACAGCAGGTAACTTTCTGAGATCTCATAGTAAATAAAGTAGAAGTCTTGGTGACCATTAAGGATGGCCATGTCTAAGGTATTCTTGGGAGCTCACTTCCCCTTAAATTGGGTTCTCTTTTTGATAATTAAACAGTGGAAACAATCAGTCTTAATTTTCAGAAGAGCCAACCGTTATTTTGATTGGGGTATGTTTGAAGGAAAACAAGTAGTAACGTAATGTTGTCTTTTTCTCCATTTCAAGTTTTTATTAAAAGTTGTGAGCGCAGTTGTCCATGCCCAACATTCAGTTGCAAAGGACAGAGATCCCACAGACGCAGTCACCGTTCCTTTTGAGAAGGACCACGACTGGCCAGCTCTCGCTGTGGATCTAGCGCATCACCTTCAAGTTAGCGAAGATGTCGTCAGACGACAGTATGTGGGGGAACTCTACAACTACGGAGCTGACCACTTAGGAGAAGAGGTAACAGTGGCCCTGTGATGGTTCACGGGGCTTAAGCTGTGAAACTGAGAATTGGAATAAAGAATCAGGAAAGTGTGGAACAAAGCTTTCTGCTTTTCCCTTGGTTAGAACTACGGGGCACAAAAAATAGAAGAACTAAAGACAATATGAAACCCACCATATTCATAGCCAGTCAATGCTTCCTAAACTGGTACAACATGCCAGAGTTGTTCTATGTACACGGATATAGCGGCAAATAACAATTTCATAAGGAACGATACTACTACTAGTATATTAGTACAATCAAGATTTTTAGAGTGCGAAGTACTATGAAGAAAATAAATCAGATAATGTAAATAATAGGAGCTACTATGGATGGTTATTGAAGGTAATATTTGAAGGGAGCCTCAAGGATAAGTCATAAGACACAATCAGTCCTTTAAACTTGGGCACATAAGTCACGAGTACAGGGCATGTGGACAGGCCAGAGGGGTCAGCTTGTATCCAGGGGTCAAGAAGTAGGAAGTGAGGTGAGCAGTCATGAGGTGTGCAAGTCCCCTTTCTGTGCCAATGAAAGGTATAATTGGGTAAGAAGCAAAATTTTAAAATTAGGTGATAATTGGTCATAAATACTTGTGTTTAAATGCTCAGTTTGATAAGGCGTTTACTTTGGCCATGGCTCAAAGATGCACTAGAACGTCTTCACTGGCAATCCTTCCGTAAAATAAACCGAACCCTGACTGTATCTCTCCATGTTCATATCCTCAGGCCATGCTCCAGGTTCATGACAAAGAAGTCCTGGCCTCTCAGCTGCTGGTGGTGACAGGGCAGAGGCTGGCTTACCTGCTCTTTCATTCTCAGACAAAAGAGGGGATGGAGTTGCTTGCCAGACTTCCACCTACTCTCTGCACTTGGCTAAAAGCAATGGTAAGTTTAAGAGGAGGAGCGAAGTCTGGTTATTGGGGGTTTCCATAATTGCATATTTAATAATAGTTAGGAAATTTAAAGTTTAACTTACATAATTTCAAAGAAAACTAGTTTTCTTGGAAAATATCTAACAATTACTTTTATTTTTCTGATGGGTTATTTTTGTGTCTCATTTTTCAGGACCCCCATGGTCTTCAAAACACTTCAATGCCAATTACAACAACAGCTAAACTAGTAAATAAAGTAATTGAGCTCTTGCCAGAAAACCATGGCCAGTATAGTCTAGCCTTACACCTTATTGAAGCTGTGGAAGCCATATCTGTTCTTTCTTCATGACACCCACTGGGTGAAGAATAACGAAGATAAGTCTTAGAATTTTGTGATTATAATATGGATTAGTGCATGGTTATTTTACAGAGTAAGATCTGGAAGTTTACAGAAGGAGTATGTTTTTTTGTTGTGTTTTATAAAATAAAAATGTGTATTGCTTTTAAAAAGTGCAATCCTGGCTAAATTCTACTCCTTTGGATAATACTGAGATAAAGTAACACAAATATCAGTTTTACCAAAATTACCAATACATGTGTTTTACTGTTTATTTCTAATTCAGACACTCAAGTAGCTTTATTGTAAAACTTTGCTATATCTAAAATTGATGATAATTTACAGATTATGGTCTAAGATTATATATTTCATACTCAAAATGTTACTGTAATTAAATATACTACATGTGTTCATGTACAGTCTCCATGAGTAAAGCTGGAGAAACAGCCCGCTCTCCTTTAAGTGCTGAGAAACCTCTTTCATCATGCTCCATCCTGGGCTGGGCTGGGCGGCGGCTGCCTGGGAGTTTTAGATGCCGACAGCTTCCTTTCCCAGAGGTCACACGTGGCCTTGCTTGAGGAGGAAGAGTGGATTCAGGATCATCACCCTTTACCAAGGACACTAGGTAGAACCCTACACCTGTTGGACTTGCCAAAATTGAGAATGTGAGATACAGGACCAACAGAGCAAAATTCATTCTAATGAGAGTTGCTTTTTGCCAAGGTTCAAAGTTGTACCCATATCAGGTAATTGTAAAAATGTATTATCTTGTAAAACTTGTGTAAAAAGGCGACCAAAATGCAAAAAATCTCGTCCAACTTTATTTTTCCTACAATTGTTTAGAAATGTCTGCTCTGGGATTTAGAAATGTTATGTGTTCTTGGGAACAGTACAGAAGATGCTTAATAGTAATATTACTGCTTTAGCAAACTTACCTCACAGCTGAGTTGAGAGGACAAAATACAACCAATTTTTTGTGCCCTATAGTGCCTAGAGCAGTCCAAGTGCTGAATAAATATTTGTTGATTCAAACTAATTAACCAAAACTCTGTAAAAAGTGCTTTGAGCTCTACAAATACCGAGTGTTTATTATGGTACGCTTTTGGAATGTGCAATTCCTGCTGTCATTGTGGCATCGGAAGAAGTTAGTGGTTCCTTCACGTAAGAAGCCTGTTCTAACAATTGTACCAAGTTAATTTAACTATGCCCTTCAGGGACACAAAGAAAACATGTAGGTGTTTGGGGGTATTCCGATGTGATTTTTTTTTTTTTTAACTGTAAGATAACATCCAAGTAGGACCCTAGCCTTGCTAAAACTTATTAAGTAACTATCAAATTCACAATGCTTAGAGATAAATTGGTAAGCTATCTTAAGGATGTGTAGGTTAGGGTTTGTGTGTGTCTGGGGCGTGCATTCTGACCAGTAGCAGCACTGAAAGGGCCTGAAGTTAGTCCACCTCTCTGCCTCTGCTTCATTCTGCTTCCCCAGCCCCTCCCCTCAGACACATTTCTATGAGTTCTTGTAAGTGTATCTACAGTTTATATAGTCACTTGCTATATGCATCCTCATAAATTAGTGCTTCCTGTGACTTTTCTAAATATTGTTCAAGTAGTATGAGTTTAGAAACTTAGAAGTATGGGTGTTTTAAAAATATATCCCTTGTTTCCATCATCACTCTTTGAGGGTACCTAATAAGCATTTGAGATAATAAAACTGTTAAATTTGTTCTTATGACATATTAAAATCTGAGAACACTTGAGAATATATAATATAGCTCATAGAAGCATGACACAAATCACTGAGTCTCTTTCTAGTTGAGTTGTAATTCTAAAATTGAATTCTGAGGTGTATGGTTGAGAAAAATCAAAATGTTTTACTGTTCCATCAGGGCTTTTAAAATCTAATGGGAAGACAAAAAAAAAAAAAAGAAAGAAATACCTGTGTGTGCATTCTGTAACAAGGAGCCGTCAGTGCAAAATGATTAGGTCTTCTGTAAAGCAGGCGGTTGCTTAAATAAAGGGTGTGTTGCACTTACTGCAGTTATTGGGAAATCAATACCCAGGAGTTTTCTAGATATACTCCCAGCACCATACACATACCTTTCTTAGCATTAAGGATGAGGATGCATTCTATGCCTTGTCAAATTAACTCTCTATAATGTTGAAGGAAAACAAATATTCAGATAATCCTAACTCCTTCACTGCAAGCTGTGTACAGCTAGAGGGGCAAGATGAATTGTAGATAAGGGGATATACAGAAGCAAGCCTAAATGCCTCATATGTCTACAAAGTAAAAAAAGAAAAAGCATTTTACTTTTATTAGGAAAATTCATCTCCAGACAAAATAAACACTGTCAGTCAACAATGATATTGCTTCATTTTATAAAAACAAAAGAGCTATTCCAATTTCAGATAACACAAAAGCCAGACTTCATAACACTAAGCTAATATTGAGTATGTTTATAGTCGTCACATAGAAGTTGCTGTGGTCAAAATCGTGCATCAGAAATACTTTCAAAGTACATCACAGCAAGAGGGAATGCCCTCGTAACCCGATAGAATGGGTCTGTTGGGTTTCGAATGCTAGATTTCTGCTGACTAGAACTTACCATCCTTAAAAAGATTTCAATCCAATCCTGAACTGTTTATATGATGCTCTAACTTCTGTAATGTACTTACTGTAAGTAGTGAAATTCTGTATATACTGCTATTTTCTGTCTATTGTGAATTTATGTAAATTACTGAAATAAATTTGCAGCTTTCATAACTGTTTTCCTAACATTCATAAATTCAATCATTCAAGGCTTTTTCTCCCTGTGATATAACAAGTTTGGTCATACTTTTTTTCTTTCCAATCCAACCTAAAAAAAACCTGACAGCGTTGAAGTTTGCTACTAAGGCAGAATGAAGTGACTCATCATCTCTTAGGGAAACAAAGCTGTCATTTCCCATCAAACTGACACTTTCACGCGATCCCACAATTTCTACACGATTAGTAGTTTTCCAGCATGCCTTTATTTGTGGACATACTGTGTCAAAAAGTTTTATAAAATAAGAAAACATTTCTGCTCAGCTTTATTTGAAGGCTGTCTATATTCTGAGGAAACCTAGTATATGGACGGGGTTATATATGTATATGTGTGTACATGTTTATTATTTCCACATAAATATATTCACACACCATTATTCCTTCTCTAGCTACAGGAACTGCTTGGTAATTTTGATTTTGACCTTCATCTTCCATCATTTGCTCTTCCACACGACTAAATCTTGTGTTTCCTTCCAGTACTGTAAGCAATCCAAACTCCTAGTCATATTGTCGGGTCTTGCTCAGAATTAACACAAAAGTGAGGTCCTACTTTCCACCAACAACCTCTGCACATCGAGGGCAGAGTGTATCTGAAGACTCCGCTGTATACTTCCAACAACGAGGGCATTTTTCTTTAGTACTTGGCATGACAATTACTTTGTATGAGGACTCTTCCCGAATATCACCACCTATGAAAGAAAGTGCATGCAGAGCATTCAGAAAGGCCATTTAACCAGTACCTCTCATTATTCTTGAATGGCATAGCAGGTGCGCCTGTCTCCGCTCTCTCTCCTTCCTGCCTTGGTAAAGCCTGTTAGGTACTTAGCTGCTTATTACATAGGTTAAAAGGTACTTCAAAAGTTCATGGGAAAATAGAATGAAGAGTTGATAAGGGCTTTTTCTGAGACAAATGAACGGAGGTGAGGAACTGAGGTCTGTGACGTTAAGTCTGCTTGGGCAGAGAGCAGGTGCCCAGCTCTCACCTGATGGACAAAAACAAATGGATGAACACGTGTCCCCATCAAACTTTCCGCACTATTAGATCTCAGATAAAATATAATCAGGAAAGTAAATTGTTTTCTATCTTTAGGCAAAACATGTATATTAGCAGTTTGAAAAAACAAGTTGAACCAAATCCATGCTGAATGCTGCCAAGCGCAAAGTGACCCCTATAAACCTGTCTCCCACTTCCTGCTGGTCCTGAATACAACTTTGCAGTTCCCAAAATATCTCCCTGCTTTTCTGTTTATCTGTTATCTCAGCTTCTGTTTACATCAGTGGGAACTGATTCCCTTTAAATAAAAACAGAACTATCCACAAAATACTTCATTGTGTAGTATCACTGCTGGAATGAGTATAATAGAATGTCGTCTTTACCCACGCCCTTTAAAAAAATCATTTTCTTGACATATCAAACCATTAAAGAGTTGTGCAGTTATCACCACAATTTCAAAAGATTTTCCTCGTGTTCATTGCCCATTGTTAGCTCCCCCATATCCCTCAGCATGATAGTGGGACAAGAGGAACGTAAAAGGAAATAGAGGAAATAGCTAGGAGGCAAAGGGCATTTATAGAGGTCTAAATAAAGATGTCCACATGTAAATATATGAGGATGGGGAAATAGATCTATGTGCATATATGTATAGAGTTAGTATTAAGGTAGCAGATGGACATTGGGCCTCCACTCAAGTACTCCCTCAATGCAAGAATACTTTGTTCTATTACACTGGCATTCCATGATGCTCACCTTCCCGACACAATCACTGAAGACAAAGGTGCATAAGCAAATGTGAAGAAACCTGATGGAGCCCAGCTATCAAAAGATAACAGCGTCTAGGGTCTTAAAGACTTGAAGGTAAACAAGCAGCCATCTAGCTGATAAGCAACTAAGCCCACATGGAAGCACACCAGCCTGTGTGATCACAGGGTGCCAAAGGCATCAAAGAACAAAAAATCATATCATTGTGAATGAGGGGGAGTGCCAAAGCCCATCTGTAAGCAATTGGATATCACCTTACAGAAGGGTCGCAGGGAGAAGAGTCAAGTCAGTGCAATGATGAAACAACTTTCCTCTAGTTCCTAAATGCTTCCTCCCCACCCACTATCATGATCCCAAGTCTACCTTACAAATCTGGCTTGACCGGAGGATGTACACTGGTACAGATAGGAACCAGAAACAGGGAATCCAGGACAGATGATCCCTTCAGGACCAGTAGTGTGCGTGGCGATATCGGGAGGGTATAGGAAGGGTGGGCTAGAATGGGGGAACCAATTGCAAGGATCTATAGTGACCTCCTCCCTGGGGGACAGACAACAGAAAAGTGGGTGAAGGGAGATGTTGGACAATGTATATGACAAAATAATTTATAAATTATGAGGGGTTCATAAAAGGAGGGAGCCGGGAGGGAGGGGGCAAAATGAGCTGATGCCAAGAGCTTATGTGGAGAGCAAATGTTTTGAGAATGATGAGGGCAACAAATACACATATGTGCTTTACACAACTGATGTATGTATGGATTGTGATAAGAATTTTATGAGCCCCCAATAAAATGATTTTTAAAAAATGACTAGACAAAACAAAACCTCAATCAAAAAGAAAGCAGCAAATAGTAAAAACAAACAAATGGGTCAAAAGGGAGATCAAATTATAAAGTATTACATTTTAACCTGACTACTACATCTGGCACAATTGACTTTATTGTCCTCCAATAGCAAGGCTACTCACATTCCTGACCTATGGAGGCTAAATCCATGTGGGGACCCTGAAAATGGGTCTGGGGCATCCACTGTCATCCATAGCCTCATGCAAAACCATTAACTCCTTACTAGTAAGGAAGGCTCCATAAATGATTTTTATTACTGTGGTCTACAGGGGACCAATTCGAGTCCATACCGAGGAAAGTTGGCCAGGCTGAGCACTACCAGAAGTGAATCAAACTGATGTGGATTAAGGGTTATTGATTCAAACCGAGGGAAAAAACTCCTCCTCTCCCTAGCTCTGTTCTTAAGATCCCAGGGTAGAGCTTTTGAAAGCCAGCTTCGAAACTTGGTCCCACTGTACATTATTTGCACAGAAAGGTGTATTTCAAGCACCCACTCATGCAGGCTGTTGCCATTACGATCGTCAAAATACCAGGAGTTAAAAACTTATCCCATAGAACCTGTTATATTAAAAATTCAAGGCACAAGGTACTCTGTTTCCTGCCTAGCAATATAAATAAAAAATTGCTATATTGAAGATGTTTTACTGTATCTAGAAGTGTTTCTTTAATAATCTTTATGCCAAGAGAGGTTCACTATGACATACATACTAAGGCAAACATTGTAACTAACTGACACTAGATACAAACCGTAACTTGAACAATACCAGTGTTCCAACAAATACAAAACTGAATTAAAGACACACTTGCGAAAGGAACTCGATAATCAGGTTCAAGATGACCTATAATTACCATTTGTTACTCTCACAACCTCCTTACCTTCTAAATTGATTAGGAATGTTCCTGTAAGTTCGATTGCATCTGCAGTTATCTCTATTGGCTCCTGAGAGAGTAAGGTTGTCTGTGAAGCCATCAGTAATTCATTCAACTGCGAGGTGCTAGAAGTCTCTTCAGCTTGGAGCATCTGGTGGTAAGCAGGTGAAAATTATCAGGGATAAACTAACAAGTTATAAAAATAATGTAAAATTCTTTGTGAGGAAACTCTTGGGTCTTACTCATTTCTTACTAAAGGGAAATTTTATTTTAAAATTTCCAATCAACAGTACTATTGAAATGCTGTTTTGTAGGCACTTTGCTAGATGCATGCCAAACACACACACACTGGCATCAAGTTTATTCCAATTCATTGTGACCCTATAGGACAGACTAGAACTTCCCCTGGGAGTTTCCAAGACTGAAGCTCTTTACAGGAGTAGAAAGCCTTTTCCTACAGGGAGCAACTTCGAACTGTTGACCTGTGGTTATTAACCCAACTCCTATCCACTACACCACCAGGGCTCCTTTATAAAAAGCACACACAGTGTTTATTGTATTCGTGTTACAAATGAGGAAACTTCCCCAAGTTTCTTAACCGCTAAGTGTTGGAGTTGGAGTTCAAGCCCAGTCTATTAGCCTCAACACCCGCAGAAGAGGAATTGAGATGCCATGTAAACACAGATCTGTGATTAGCAATGTGGACCAATCGTGGCAACCAGGAAAACAAAACACAGAACCCTTCACAAGTACAGTGAATTTAGATGCTCGATAATACTTTAAACAGATAGATTGCTTTTACAATCAACTGAACATGGTGGAATGAAATATTTAAAGTTAAAACAAAAGTTACCAGCCTAAAATTCTTTAGAGAAATTATCTTTCAAAAGAGAAATATTTTCAGGCAAACAATCTCAGGGAATTTATCAACAGAAGTCTTGCCTTGCAAGAAATATTGAAACACTTCAGAGGAAAGAAAATTTTCATAAGTCAGAAGAATGGATTTACATATAGAAAGGAGCATTTGAAGGAATAAATGAAAGTAAAATAGCTTTAGTTTTCTTAAATGTTTAATAATTTGTGAAAACTGTAATGTATGAGTGATAATGGTTTATGGATAAGTGAAATGTAAAACACCAATGTAATAAAGGAAGGGGAAAGGAATCAGGAAAGTTTAAGGTAATTATGCTGCCTAGACTTAAATGAATTGTAAATATATACTGTGATCACTAGAGAAACTTCCAGCACTCATTAAACACTACTGAAAGTCTAAGCTAATGCAATAACACAAGAAAGGCAGTGAAAAGCATACATATTGAAAAGGAAAAACTCCCGTCTTTTTTCAAAAAATATAGGATTGTCTCCTTGGAAAATATCGAAGAACTATTTAAAAACACCTGGAACTAATAAACAAATATAGCAAAGTTAGTAAAAAGATTAAGAATGAGGAGGCTTCAAAAAGTTTATGGAAAAATTCCAATTCTATTATCTTTTAATTCCATTTTCCACAAGCTTTTAAAGTCCCCTTGTATATTAAAACCAATTCTTTCCTGTATACCAAAGCAATCAACAATTAGAATTTGATATTGAAAACACAACATTTATACAGACATCCAAAGCAACCACTCTAAGAGCCAAGAAAACTTAAATGTACTGCCCATCAAGTAACTCTGAAATATTTGTTTATATACTTACTACATAATATATATAGGACCAATCTTAGGGAAACCACAAAACAAGTGAAAGAAATCAATGACCTTTTTAGAGATACTCTTATTTCCATGGGTTTCAAGACTCATTAAAATGTCGTTATTTCCAATTTGATCTTCAAATTCAACAGAATCTCAAAGAAAATTCCAGCAAGTTACTTTATTGATGTCTGCTTCAAATAGCCACGGAATAGAGATGCGAGATCAACAATAAGAGGACTGACACCACAGACTTCAAGACTCACTATAAAGCTAGAGTGATGGAGAGTGTGGTACTGGAAAAATTGGACAAATAGATACATGGAACAAAACAGAAAGCCCAAATGGAAAGCCACACAAAGACGAGAGGACTTCGAAAAGTTCACAGTAAAAGGGAGTCAAAAGATAATGGAGTATACTGATACAGTATTAAATGGAGAAAGGGCAGTTTTCCAAAAATACTGCTAAAGGAACTGGGAAGTCACATGCAATATAAAACTCACCTAGGCACAGACCATACATCTTTTACAAAGTTAATTTAAAATGGGTCATAGACCTAAACGCAAAACTATGAAACTGAATACAACAGGTACTAAGTTAGGTGACCTTGGGCTTAGAGTTTTTAGATGAACAGTAAATACAATACAGCAAAGAAAAAGCAGTGAGTTGGACTTCACTGTTCAGAGTGAAAAGGCAAGACACAGACTGGGAAAAATAATAGACTGTCCCTGATCACAGACTCCTATCTAAACATATCAACTCCTAAAACTCATCAAGAAACAAAGAGGCCTCTTAAAGAATGGCCAAAGGTCTGAACTGACACCCCCTGGGGAAGAGCTGCCTGTACAAGTAGGCACAGGGAAGATGCGCAGCACCACTTGTCTTCAGGGAACTTCAAATGAAAACCAATGGATTCACCACCACACATACACTATTCCAAAAAATAAAACCTCACTGCCATCGCGTATATTCCAACTCACAGCAGGTCTACAGGTCAGAGTAAAATTGCCCCTCTGGGTTTTTGGGGCTTTTAATCTTTAGAAGAACATGCGATTTCATCTTTTCCCTGATGAGAATGCTAATGAGAATGCAAAATAATACAGCTACTCTGAAAGACAGATTTTTTATAAAACTACAGAATCACATTCACCCAAGTGAACTGAAAACTTAGCGGTCCACACAAAATCTGCCCGTGAATGTTTGTAATAGTTCATAATTATCAAAAATCGGAATGCCAATAAACAAATTCTTGTATATCTATATAGTAAAGTATTATTTATTCAGTGATATCATGAAAAGGCATAGTTTAGGAATTCTTAAACATATTTTACGTGAAAAAAGCTAGGTTGAAAAGAATACAAACTATGGGTCCAATTATATGTCATTTTTGGAAGCAAAATCACAGACAAAAAGATCAGTAGTTCTAAAAGCTGGATGGGGGGCAAAAGATGAAGAGGTGGAACATGGGATTTTTTTAGGGCAGTTAAGCTAGTGTGCAGGATACTATAATGTCAGATACCTGACCTTTTATAATTGTCACAACCCACAGAACTGTACAACACAAACTATGGGCTTTAACAGTAATGGATCAGTATTGATTCATCAATTGTAGCAAATGTCCTACATTTATGCAAGGTGAGAGAGAAACTATGGGTAGAGAGAATAAGTATTTGGCCTTTGGAAACGTACTTTGCTTAATTTCTCTGGTAACTTAAAAGTACAGTAATAAAACTCAGACGTTTATCAACCGAAATGTGGTGGCGAATTTTTAGCACTGCAGATTAGGTGCTGGGGTGCTAACTGCAACGTTTGCAGTTCAAACACACCAGCCACTCCTCAGGAGAAAACTGAGGCGCTCACCATTTCAGATACCCTACAGAGTGGGTCACTAGCTAAAGAGCTCTGGTGGGGTAAAAGGTGGCATGCTAGGCCACAAGGTCCACAGTTAAAGCCATCAGCCATCCCACAGGAGAAAGATAAGGATCTACTCCTTCAGAAACCCACCTCCTCCATCCTATAGGGTCACTATGAGTTGGAAGTGGCTCAATGGCAGCGAGTTTGGTGGGGTTTTTTCAGAGGAGTCTTAAGTCAATGCCATAGCAGTGGGTTTGGGTGGTTTTTTGTTTTTAATGATACTAATAAAACTTTTTTTTTAACAAAGTAGTCATTCTAGTTCTCTTCTTCAGAATTACGACTAAATCGTGTAGCAACGATGAAACATATTAACTTTCCTCTAGTTGCTAAATGCTTCCTCCCCACCCACTATCATGATCCCAGTTCTACCTTACAAATCTGGCCAGACCAGAGGATGTACACTGGTACAGATAGGAACTGGAAACACAGGGAATCCAGGGTGGATGATCCCTTCAGGACCAGTGGTGAGAGTGGCAATACTTGGGAGGTGATGGGAGGGTGGGTTGGAAAGGGGGAACCAATTACAAGGATCTACATATAACCTCCTTCCTGGGGGACAGGCAACAGAGAAGTGAGTGAAGGGAGACGTCGGACAGTGTAAGATGACAAAATAATAATTTATAAATTATCAAGGGTTCATGAGGGAGGGTGAGCGGGGAGGGAGGGGGGAAAATGAGCTGATTCCAGGGGCTTAAGTGGAGAGCAAATGTTTTGAGAATGATGAGGGTAACGATGTACACATGTGCCTTATACAACTGATGTATGTATTGATTGTGATAAGAGTTGTATGAGCCCCCAATAAAATGATTTAAAAAAAAAGAATTACAACTAAATCTTGAGTCATGTTAAAGTCAATGTAGTCAATAAAGCTTTAAGGTCCTTTTAGAAATAAAAATAATTTGAATATTTGTGAGACACGTGACAATTTTCTGAAGCAAATGAGTTTCTGTAGATCTCCTGAGGCAAAGATGAAAATCTTATTTTTAGATTCCTTTTGAATCTGATTCGGACTGGATAGAAAATTCTCAGAGCAGACCCTTAGTGGGAGGGAAACTCATGAAGCTGTACTCTAACACCACTGTCTCAGATTGATGGCACCTGCCTTCTAGATAGGTCTGGGAGTTTCCTGTTCAACAAAATCCTGTCATGAACCAGGGGGACAGTTTCAGAACCAGAAGACAAAAACTCTAATTTTCAAAATAAAAGTTTTAAAATATCACAAATTTCAGGAGAGTCCGTGAGATACTGAATGCCATTTCAAAAAGTTTATCTTGCTGCCTACCTCCATGATCTCAAAAAGCAGTCCCGGCTCTATCACTATGACAACCTGGTACTCTGCTGCATTTTTGCCAGGGATGCTTCCAAGAAATGAGTCTCTCATTGCACATGCGCTCTCCACTGCCTCCTCCAGGCCAGGCTTCTTCCAAATGGAACTGATGTTCATCCACCCAGTACGGAAAACACTCTTTGGTTCTGGGGGAAACAGAAATTTAAAAGGATTCACATGCATCCTAAACTATATGTAGAACTCTCGACCTTTAGACATTTACTATTAGAATATGAAGAGTTATTATTTATTGTAGAAATATTATGGAACCACTAAAAACGTTTACCATAAATATTTACGTCAACATTAAGATACAATTATGTTACATTTAAACAACAGCAACAAAATGTAAAATCTCCTAAGAGGCCCTCGTGGTGCAGCGGGTACATGCTGGGCTGCAATCTGCAGGACAGGCAGTTCAAACCCACCAGCCCCCTAGCTGGCTTTCTAGTCCTGTGACAGTCGCAGTCTTGACGACAACAGCTCTACCTGTCCAGAGGGATGCTATGCGTCGGCACTGACTCGATGGCAGTGGGGTTTTTTTTGGTAACATCTCAAATGGAGAAAATACATGGAAGAAGTAAAAACAGAACAATCCCAATATGAGTTGTCGTGAGAAGTAAGATTATGAATGATCTTGCTCTCATTTTCTTTCTAAACGTCTACAGCTCCTAATTTTCTATAAGCTTAATCCACGTAGGGGAGTCGAAAAATGACATAAAAAGCTACAAAAAGTCACTATTCTTGGTTTACATAAAACCTAAACTATATTTCTGAATACTTAGAAGAAACTTTTTAAGAGCATGTGATTTCTCCATATTATAAAGCTGCTAATACGCTGCAGAAAGGTGTGGACACAGTGGGGAGACCAACTGGAAGGTGCCTGCCTCCTCTACGATTAAGTGCAGAGATTACCCAATGGCTGAGACACACGGGGCTGTCTCTGAAGCACATACAACTAAAGGTGTACCTCTTGCGGATTTCTTCTTTATTTCGAGAAGTAAACATGTCTCACCGTCAGCATAAGGGAGGTGTTGGAAGACCTCTTCAGCCAAGTGAGGCAGAATGGGAGCAAAAGAGCGCACCACCACGTCCAAGATCTCCGCTAACGCAGTTTGGCAGGAGCGACGTTTAGGATCATGTTCGTTTTCACAGTAAAGCCTGGACAAGAAGAGCTTAGTCAATAGTCAACCCCACTCTGGGTATTATGATCACCACAGCAGGCTCGGCCTCAGGCTCCTTATAATTAACAATATCTTATAATTAGATAATAAAATACCCTATCACATATGTATACATACATTTATTTTAATGTAAATTTTTTCACTGAGGCAAAACTTGTAAGACATAAAAATAACCCTGTTAAGGCATACAATAAAGTAATATTTAGTATATTCAGTGTTGTATGCGTCTATCATCATGAGTCTAGGACATTTTCTCACCCCTAAAAGGAAACCCTGTACCCACTGAGCAGTTATTAATATCTTGATACCTTATTTCCATTTCACTTTACCCTCTCCAGTTATCCACACGCCTCTGAAAAATGTCTATGCTGTATCCAATCCTGTTATTCAGACAGCTATTGCCTGGACTCTCGACCGTGTTAAAATATAATTAACACATTCGCTTTTGATATTTAAACCGTGACGCTCATCCCCACAGTGCTTTAAGGGAAGGAGTCGAGTGAGACTCCATCTGTGGAAGTCCTTGGTGGCCGGCCCAGCTCAGGGCTGGTTTCTGACGTGACACTGGTCGGTAGAACGGTAGCACCATCACTTGTACACAGGAGCAATAAATGGAGACTTAGCAACAAGCCCTCATTTAAAAGGCTATTACTAATGTGATATGATGTTATTCACATAATAATTGCCTGTGCTCTTGCTCTTCAATATTTGTATACTCCTGAGAGCAAGTACAATGTTCGATACCTCTGATTAGTAGCAAGTACAATGTTCGATACCTCAGATTAGTAGCTATTACTTTTTGAGCAACTTGTCAGACAGAGCATTAAGCACATCACTTACATTATCTCTTTTAAGTCTCCTAACCACATGAGGTAGGTATTATCATCCCTTTTTTATAGAAGAAAAGAGATTATTGGGTAAGTTTCCCCAAATCATATACTTAGTAAGCTGCAGGACAAAAGTTCAAAATCAAGTTTGAGTCTAAAAGCTAACTTGATAATATGGTCACTGTGCTGCCCACCCGGCTCACCCTGTGTCCCCAGTATCCCAAGAACATAGCCCATACTCAAGAAGTTATCATTATTTCACTATTCAGTGTACATACCTATCTTTGATGATGCTGAAATAAAAGCTAGAGAGTTCTCTAGCATAAAATGCTTGTAACAGTCGAACAACTTTTCCAAAATCGTATTGTTTATATGCCTCAGTGGTCTAGGAACAATGACAAAATACATTAGGAAGCCAAGATAAGACTGAAATGCAAGCCATCATGAGCAAATTAAGTTCTTGTAGGAAGGTGCTTCAAAGGCAGATAATCTTGAGGATCTTCTAAAGGAATTTCTGGTCACTAATTGGACTACTTGGAAAAGATTACTCTAGCAACTACAAAACAATCCTCATCAAAGAAAGCAAGCGGGTTTTGAATGATGAGATCACATTTTAAAACTCCAGAGTGTGGGTTGCAAACAATCCACGAATGCTTCCTCACCTACTGCCTGAAAGGTCACAGAGGCAGAACGGGGTGTGTGCTCCACTGACTTAAAGTGTATACTAAGGAAGCCCCAGTTTCAATTCTGAGCAAACATGGATTCTTTGTGTTTATGTTAAAATAAGCCAGTATCTTCCCAGAAATATGCACAATCCATTTATTTCTATGCATTATTACAAGGGGCACAGGGATTGATAAATGAAAGATAACTACTTTGCTTCTTCCCATGGAAAATTAGATAAAGCTGATCTTGAGAGAAGGAAAGCCCAAGCCTACTGTTTCCACTGTTTGTCGGATCTTTTGAGAACCTACCAAAAAGATGTTTCACTTCAATCTCTTATGTCTACAACAACCTAGCCAAGTGGTAACATTTCTCATTGCTATGTTATTAGCCTTTCTGCAGGTTTGTTCCACTCTCATGAAACTAAGTATCTAACATATAGTAGTGGTTTTATTTCTAGTAACTTATTAATTCACACTTACCTTATTTGCAAAATCCTGCAGTAAGTGTAGCATGTACTGGTCTATGACATACATATCTGCAGCAGGAACACAATCTGTTTTGGGGTTGAAACCAGACACATTTCCCAAAAGAAAGCGGAGTGTATTCCTAAGCTGTTCATATTGACAGAAAAGAAAAGTATACAATAAATTTAAAATGTCAGGTCTTGTATTCTCGCTGAAAAGTTGTACTACTCTTTAACTAAAGTTCACTCAACTCATTTCCCGTTCTGAATGGGGTACGGTACCAGTAAGTCTCTCTTCAGTAAGACTCAATGAAAAAGACAAACTACTCATTCTAATCACCTAGAGTGAATTCTCCTGGTATCTTATAGATTAGGTGAAATTTTCCTTCTGTGGTTGTTTATTCATTTGTCCAGGTGAGAATAATGCAATTTTCACCAACTTCCCAGGTGAAGGTAAGGTAAATGGAATAAATGAGACAGATCAATGAATACATACAAAGTGCAAGGCAGCATATAAAATTTAAGTTTATTCTACCAGTGCTTTCTTTTTTTTTTTTTTTCATTTAAAAATGTATTACCTTTTTCTTTAAAAAAAAAAAACAGCTTTCATTTCTAATACATCTTTTAAAACGCCCCCCCCCCCAAAAAAAAACCCAAAAAACCTTGATTGCGAATTAGGTGGGGGTTTTACATATCAGATCATTTCTGCAATCAACAACGTAGACAATTCATCAGACTTCCCAAAGGCTTATCCTGTTGTTAAATCAGTCAACACAGGGCATTGTTAATGCTCACAACATATGTCCACTCAGTTTTTCGGTGTCAAAACGTGAGCAGGTTTTGTTGGCTTCACAGTGGGGTGGTGGGTATGCTTCATTCACCAGAATGACTGACCTTGTGAATATCATCTCTGGCAGCATTCAGTGCAGACGGACCAATGGTCACTTCGGTAAAGACATTAGACTCAGCTACCCACCAGCGAAGGACATCAGCACCATAAGGTGGTTCATTGCTTTGATCCTTGTCGTTGAAAAAAAACAAAAAAAAAACCATTACCAACAGAAAGTTGTCAATTCCAGTAGTTGAAAAAATGCTTTAGGCAATGTGTGAACTCAAAATGGAAGTTTAGAATGTACGTGCATTATGAGACAAAGCCTAACGATGCCAGCAGTCAGGCTGCATGTGAAATCAGCAGACTGGCAAAGAGGACTGTCTATCTCCGCTGCAATCCTGTTCAAGGCCCAGATGTGCCTATGTGACCTCTGCCCTGTTGTCTGTGTGCGTCTATCACAGCTGTTGCCGACCACACAGTGATTGTGACCTGATTTCTAGCTGACAGTGGAGGGGAGGGACCCAGTCACAAGGAGAGCAGTAAAGAGATAAAGGAGTAAAAGAACAGACATCTGATTTCTTTTACAAAAGCTACTCTAAAATAAAACAAAGCAGCGCAGCCCAGGTTTGGTATCCACTGAAAAGTTGCTAAAGGGCCCTAGTGGTGCTGACAGGGAAGGGTTGGCATGGTGGCGGCTCAAAGTCTCTGTGGAATTTGAGTCTGCCTACTATAAAGCTTTGCAGCCTCGGAAACCCTATGTATAGGGTCACTATGAGTTGGAATCAATGTAATAGCAGTGGGTTTTTAGTAAGGGACCCTGGTGGCACTGTAGGGTAAGCATTAGACTGCCAGCCACAAGGTCAGTGGTTCAAACCCACCAGCCACTCCTTGAAAGAAAGTTGATGCTATCTAGTCCCGTGAAGATTTTTACAGACTCTGAAACCTTACACAGAGTTGCTATGAGTCAGAATCAAGTGGATGGCAGTGGGCTTGGATTTTGTTTCTTTGGAAAGACTTGTTTTAAAATAAATAAAAGTTTATCTATTGCCAAGAAAATAAACATGAAATGTGTACTCTCATGCTAAAATTTCATTTTTTTTCTTATGCTGTTTTGACCTAACAGGTAAATACAGTTTATAAACTTTTAAGGTTCAGAATATTAAAAATGAAACAGCATGGGTCAGGACCCCACTACAATCAGACCTGAGTCATTATCACACTCTGTCCCTTTTCCATTAAAATCCTATGACTTCACGAGTCCAGGTTGAAAACTTGCTGAGTGTCTGTGTTATTGTGGTAATGGCTGCACACTAAGCGCCTTAAATGAGAAGGCTTTTTAGAGAATACCGACTTGTCCTCCATTGATGACAACGTCAGGATTAATAACATTCCCAAGAGACTTGGACATCTTCTCTCCCTTTTCTCCAAGGGTAAAGCCGTGAACAACCACTGCCCTGAAAAGACAAATTAACCACTGAAAACAAGCAACCACTGTCAACAGCGATCTCTTTGAAGATGACTTATAGTTTGAATGGCTGCTTGCAAGCTTTTAAAACCCCAAGCACTAGTACAATGAAGGAGGAAGTACAACAGAACACATGGTAGTAGGCTATTTAACCGGGATGTCCCGAAACCATGAATGAGCCTAAACCTCGAAACCCAATCAATCGTCTGGTTATATGAAAGAGCCTCAGATGTTCTTTCCATTCTTGTTTTTTATGTCACGCATCTTTTGCCAATGCCAACTTTTTCCAGGTATGCAACTGATGGACAGGCAATTATATGAATCAACTGTGCAACCCTACCCCTAATCAATGTGAATTTTCCTTTACCCTAAACCAAAGCTCAGTGCAACAGCCCCTTCCCCATTTCCATGGTAACACTAATAAACTCTAGTCTCTCAACTAACAAAAGAAAAAATTTAAACGATCTTGGTTTAACCCAAAATGGGACTTTTCTTGACAGATTACATGTGAAAGCTTTTCATGAAAGTCAGTCTCAGCAGATGACATGTCAGGAAGGTTAAATAGTAAGCGCTCCACTACACAAAGAACCTGAAGATGTCCCCTTCACTGAACGAATTTTCGCTGAACACTATTTTTTTAAATACTTTTATTTGGGGCTCTTACATGTCTTATCACAATCCATACATTCCTCCAGTGTGTCAAGCACATTTTCACATATGCCCCATCATCATTTTCAAAGCATTATCTTCCCACTTGAGCCCGATATCCGCTCCCCATTTCTTCTCCCTCCCTCCCTCCCCCACCCGCCCTCCCTCACGAGCCCTTGATACATTATAGATTATTTTTTCTGTGTCTTACATCGTCCTCTGTCGCCCCTTGCCCACTTTCCATTATTTGTCCCCGAAAGGGGGTTCTAGGTTAATCCTTGTGATCGGTTCCCCCTTTCTCCCCACACCCTCCTCTAATCCTCCTGGTTTTTCTATTCTCATTGTTGGCCCTGAGGGGTTTATCTATCCTGGATTCCCTGTGTTGTGGGCTCTTATCTGTAGCCGTGTGCATGCTCTGGTCTAATCTGATTTGTAAGGCAGAACTGAGGTCATGATAGTGGGGTGAAGGAAGCACCAAAGAACTAGAGGAAAGTTGTGTGTTTCATCGGTGCTATACTGAACCCTGTCTCATCTCTTCCCTATGAACCCTCTGTGAGGGGATGTTGAATTGTCTATGATGGGCACTGGGTCTCCACTCCATGCCCCACCCCATTCACCTTGGGTATGGTTTTGTTCTGGGTCTTGGATGCCTGATCCCTGAACCCATGGACACCTGGTGATCACACAGGCTGATGGGCTTCTTCCATGTGGGCTTTGTTGCTTCTAAGCTAGATAGCCACTTGTTTAGCTTCAAGCCTTTAAGACCCCAAACACTGTATCTTTTGATAGCTGGCACCATCAGTTTTCTTCACATTTACTTATGCACCCATTTTGTCTTTAGCGATCGTGTAGGGAAGGTGAGCATCACAGAATGCCGGTTAGAACAAGGTGTCCTTGTGTTAGGGGAGTATTTGAGTCAAGGCCCAACGTCTATCTGCAACCTTAATTCTTAACATGTAGATATGAGTACATATTTCTATTCCCCTCTCATTATATATATATACATACATACATATTCACATGCCTGTATTTAGGCCTCAATAAATGTCCTTTGCCTCCTGGTTCTTTCCTCTATTTCCTTTTCACTTCTCTCTTGCCCACTGTCATGTTCGGCCTTCATTGCAGAGCACTATTACATACTGCTTTGATCATTAAAAATAGTTAGAAAAGCCTGGTTTTGTCTCAAAATAATGTTCAGAAATATAATTTGAGAAAAATTTTTAAAAAGAAAAATAGTATCTGCTGATTTGTTGGTTTTAAAAATCATGTCACACAAGAAATATGAGCATGTAAATTGTTCTAGGGAGGGTTGTCATCTAGAGATATCCCAAATCATGTTATTTCAGAACTTTCTCATGAGGATGCTTACCACACATTTATGAAGACAAAGCAAATAATTGTAACTAAATAGGGACCCCTAGCTCTGTAAATTCACCAAAGAAATGTTCTGCTCATTAGTCACTTGGGAATACTATAACCTTAAGGGCACCTAAGCTCAGACTAACCGCTCAACCTGGACTGTCCTTGAAATTCCTCCAGGTCAAGTCTTAATGTACTTCAAATTCTAGCTCTACATACATTTCTCCAATAGTCAATGCTGATCACACATCTTACAGGAATTATGTGGTTTCATGACTTTTAGTTCAGTGAACTCACACTTCTTTGTATTATTTCATCTCAAACTCTCATTCCTATTTCTCTGATAAGACTGTAAGTTAATTACTGGGAATATTTATGTATTATTCAGCATAATGTTTCACACCCTGGCAAGTTCTCTACAAAAGTAAGCTGGCAGATCTAGCGAAGGTAAAACAGACTTACTTATAGGGCGCCCTTTTCCTTGTTGCCACACTTGTTAGCAAAGAAGACTGAAACCAGCCCCCAAGCTGGTCTTTCCCTTCCAGGTACAGATCTGCTCTTGGGTCAGTGCCTCAAAAATAAAAGTTAGATTAAAAAATTTTAATGCAGCGATTTAAGTTAATTAAAACAGAAAAAGCATTCAAATTAAAAAAATATGCATTCTATTTATTTATTGTCATGCTATTACCAATGGCACAGATACATTAATGTGAATTATTATCCCCAATGTTACTTTATTATTCAAGACAAAGGGGGACAAATCTGGGGAGGATAAGCTCCCAAATAATGGGTAACTATTATTTAAGTTAGGAACTGATTCATAATACATATCAGTATCTCCAGTTAAATTTTCCTAGAAAACAGACTAATGCTTTTGTAGAATTTAGCAAGGGGACAGATTATAATCCAAGGTGACACATATAGCAAGCAATTCAGCTTAGCGTTGAACCTAGACAAAGCTTAACAAAGAAGTTTTGCTGTCTGTATGTACTTGATTTTCTTAATTAAATAATCAGTCCAAAGGTGTGTACAATGTGCCAAGGTCTTTAGTCTCAAATGCCTTAGATGCAGCAAAGATGGGAACACATTAGCATTCAACAGTTCACTATTATCTGAGCCAATGGTCCCATCAGATAAACACCTCAAACTCAAGACCAAACTCACTGCCATCGAGTCAGAGAACCCTGCAGGGTGGAGAACTGCCTCCGTGGGTGTGTGAGGCTGTAAATATTTAGGGAAGCAGAAAGCCTCATCATTCTCCCACAGAACAGTTGGTGAGTTTGAACTGCTGACTTGCAATCTGCAGTCCAACAGCATCATTAGACAAACAACAAAAGTAACAATTATTTCAGGCAAAAATCATCAAGTATAAAGAGATACCCTAAAGAGTGCTAGTTAATATTTGGGAACGGAATATCTAACCAAGGGTTTAATACCCAGGACACATAAAGGATTCCTTTAACTCAACCATACCTATGGCCAACAAACCAACCAAAACATGGGCAAAGGACTTGAATAGATGCTTCTCAAAAGAAATGTATAAATAAGCCAATAAGCACATGAAAAGATGTCTAAGTCATCAAGAAAATGTAAAACAAAGTCACAATGAGCTCTCACCTTCGCACTCTCTAGGATGGCTGAAAACAGCAAGTGGTAATGAGTAGGTGGGAAAACTGGAGACTCAGGCAGCACTGATGGGAATGTAAAATGGTGCTGCCACTACGGAAACAACTTGAGGATCCGCTAAATATCAAATACAGAGTTACCATGTAACACAGTAATTCTGCAGCCAGGCTATCTATGTACACAAAAGACGTGAGAGCAGGAACTCACGTACACACCAATGTCCAGTTTTCACAATAGCTACAAGGTGGAAGGAAAGGACCTAAATGTCCATCAACAGATGGGCAGTAAACAAATTGTGGGACGGACAGACATAAAACGGCATATTATTCAGCCACTAAAAGGAATACAGTTCTCATAGATTCTACAATATGAATACACCTTAAAAACATGATGTCATGTGTAACCTGTCAGAAAAAGAGATAAATATTACATGATTCCATTAATATGAAATACTGAAGGTAAGCAAGCATATGAACAGGAAAACACTTATTAGGGACCACCATGGGATAGGTGAGAAGAGAATGAGCTATCACCGAAAGGCTACTGAGTTTCCATTTGAGGCCATGTAAAATTTTGGAAATGGATAATGATGCTGCTAACGTTAATTCATGTCACTGAAGTGCACACTTAAAATAACAAATTACTTATGACACTAAAAAGTTGTTAAACAAGGAATGTTAGAAACCAAAACCGTTGGCTCAATTCGATCTCACAGCTACCACACATTACAGCCCAGGGCAGTGGTTCTCAGCCTTCCTCATGCCGTGACCCTTTCATACAGGTCCTCATGTGGTGGTGACCCCAACCATAAAATTATTTTCGTTGCTACCTCATAACTGTAATTTTGCTACTGTTTGAATCGGGCAACCCCTGTGAAAGGGTCATTCGACCCCCAAAGGGGTCGCGACCCACAGGTTGCGAACCGCTGGCCTAGGGTTCCTAGGCTGTAATCTTTATAGATGCCAGTTGCCTCGGTTTTTCCTGTGAAGTAGCTGGTGGGCGCAAAGCTCTTGGCTAGCAGCAGAGTGCTTGCCTACCGCACCAGGGCTTATCCAAGGAGTGGTAAACTACCGGAGGAAGTTTCATGAGCATGGGGCAGTGAATTATTTAATGCGGCTCTTCTAGCCAAAGCCTCTGTTTAACTCCCAGCAAACGACCTTTCCCTGCACGGGCTTGGATAAGAAGGCAGAGGACGATTCCCCTGTAAGTAACTGCGAGCAGGATGCATTCTAATGGCCATCCTGCTGTGTATAAAGTGAGTCCTCTGAGAAGCAGGAGAAGGGACCTCAGGACCAGGGAGAGCCCCGGTGGAGCACATCCTTTGGATCCCACATCTCGTTCTTGGACCAGATTCCACCAGCTGCCACCGCCTTGGGGATTAAGGAGGATCCTCCAGCCAGACCTCTGAATGTTGACCTGGGGCTTGCTAGCACCCACATGATGTGACCCCCTTTCTTTATGTTGTACACTCTGAGTGGCCATTGGAGCACCCTGGGATGTCATGCGCAGACTAAGAGAAGGGGGTGGTCGACGTCAGAAGGGATGGAAAGCTCAGCGGTGTGGAAAGGTGAGACTTTGGGAATATATTTAACCTCCACCTTCTTGGAACCATTCATGTGCTAATTTTCATGCAAGAAATTGTTACCACAATGAGAAAATGGTGTTTCAAATAGCGTTTGAAATACCTGATGAATCTTGTTACAAGACCTTCCTGGGCTGAGGAGAGCAAGCAGAAAAGCAGAAGGAACGACTTTAAAATAATGAAAACTGGCAGAACCACCTAGGCATGTGATCAAAGTTCAGACCCAATGGCACAAACAGACATTATGTGCTTGCTGATGGCAGCACTAAAATAGGAGCAATATAATTTCTCTAATGCCCCCCCCCATACACAAAAAGGGTATAAACAGAATCTAGTCACGAGGACTGAGAACACAAACATAAAACGAGGAACAATTTACAGAATAAACTACTGTGCCATCACAAATGTCAAGGTCTTAAAAGACAAAGAGTAGACTACAGTGATCTGACGACTCTATTCATCATGTGATCCTAGATTAGTCCTGGACTTTTTAGTGCTTGTAACATATACTAGTGGGACAATTAGTGAAAGCTGAGTAACATCTATAGACAGACATTGTGTTAGTCTGGATACTTTAAAGAAACAAATCCGCAGAAACTCATGTATAAGAGAGAGTTTTTTGTTTTTTTAAAGAGAGAGTTTTATATAAAGGTTAAGTGTGCATCAAGAAAACATCCTATCCCAGTCTGCCCAGGCCCACAAGTCCAACATTAACCCATATGTCCGACACCAATCCACAAAGTCCTCCTCCATCTCACAAAACAGACGCAATGATGCCGACTGCAGGAAGAAACTTAATCAGTGAATGTGTAAGTATCTCAGCGCTGGCAGGGGTCTCCACATGGCTGCTCCAGCACTCAGGGCTGCATTGGGGTAGGTCCATGTGGCTTCTCCTCAGGGATGTCTTGCAGGAAGAGAGTCTTGCCAGCTAAAGCAGGGAAGTGGCTAAGGCAGCTGCACCCTGGTCCAATCATCAGAAAGCAAAAGACCGGAAAACTGGAAAGGTGAGGCTCATTGAGCCATTTATCCCTCCGCCCTTCAATTAACCCCACATGTGTTTATTGGCCAGGATGACACAATAAACTAACCACCTCAGACATGAGCATGGAATCAATGTTCACTTTCTGATTTTGGTATTTCTGCTTGCTATGTAAAAGAATATATATTAGAGAGAACTTTTTGCTTCTGTAAATATTTATAACCTTGGAAATCCACAAGGGCAGTTCTACTCTATCCTAATTGGGTTTGCCATGAGTCAAGATCAACCTAATGGCAATTACCTAGTTTGGTTTGGTTGGTCCACATTAAGAAATACACAATGAAGTATTTAAGGGTAAAGGGCATCATATCTACAACTTACTCTCAAAGGATAAAGGAAAAACCAGTAAATACGAAAACATTTGGGAAATGTAGTGGGCATTCTTTATACTACTTTGAGACTTTTCTGTAAGTCTGTCTAACCATATTAAAAAAAATCCCCAATAAAAGTTCTTTGGGAAACATTTTAAATCTAAAACACAATTTTAAGAAGCATCCATATCCCTTTTATTTATAAAATATTTGTCCTTATGTCCTAATATAAGAATTCAGTGCAATTTAGTCATAGCCATAACTTAAGAACAATTCATTCTTATGTCATAGCCCTGCTCAATATTTGCCCTTCTGAAGAGATCACTAAAGATATAGTGCTACAACAAAGTATGAGGAGGCAAGAAAAAGATGGGGAAGAAAGCAGACGGTGCCTGGCTATCCGAAAGGATAGCATCTAGGGTCTGGAAGGCTTGTCTTAAAACAAGCAGCAAAAAAAATGAAAAAGAAAAGAAAAACACCAAGCAGCCATATAAATGAACCAGCAGCTAAGTCCACGTGGAAGAAGAACACCAGCTGTGTGATCTAAGGACTGTAAACAGTAAAATCAAAATCTGGAGGTGTGAACAGTATTAGAGAGCTTAAATTCTGAACCTCTGATTTGTAGAAGGCTATGAATGGCAGTAAAAGTCCAAAATGCATTTGCAGGATCCTCTATATGGATTAAACCTCTGGTGCATTCCCTATGATGATGGACCAGGAATCCCTATGATGATGAATGACCTTGTTATCAGACAGAGTGCGTTGTGGGATGGAGTACGACAGTTAGATTAAGCTGTGACACCTTGTCATCTTGATTGCCTTTTTGATCCAATATATATGTACTCCAGTTTCTAATATTTTCTGCTTTCCTTTTAATTGTGGTTTTTCTGTCATTGTTGGGTTGTGATTTTTGGTTTTTTAACCTTAACTTTGTATATTTTTCTATATATGAAACCTAAAAGAGTTAAATCTATAGACAACAACTGGACTAATAGTTTCCTAAGGTCATGGCAGGGGAGGTTACTGGCTAACAGGGAACTAACCATGAGTACAAGGAAGAAGAAATATTCTTAAATTGATTGTGTGATGATTACACAACTCTTTTGAATATGACTGAACTATTGAAATGTATGTATGATGTGTGGATTATATGTAAATAAAACAGTTTAAGAAAAAAAAAGAATTCAATGTGATAATCCTTATGTGAGAAAGATAATCTAAGTGGAGTTGAACAAAGACAAAATTAAAACAACTGATTAAACCCATGGAAGAGCAATTCAGTCAAGAATACTGAAAATGTACTAGACTGTGTGCACTATGCTAGACACTGGGAAAAATTAAGAAACCTGTCAACTGCTCTCTTAAACCTAACATGGGGGTGGGGGTGGGGAGAGTTAAATAAATTGTTAACTGTTAAATAGTTAATTGTGATCGGTGCTACCAAGAAGAAAACACAGGGTTTAAACTAGTCTGTATAGTCCAGAAAGTCAGACAATATAAAATACAATGCCTAGGCAAAAAGAACATTGTGTCTCAGCATCGGTATTGCGACATCTGTAGCCTACTTTTCTTCCTCCTCTACTAAAGTATCCCTTTGTAACTAGTTGACTTTCATGATGCTCCAACCATCACATGCTTAGTCTGAGACTCACTAAACTGCGTGGCCATCACCTAATTTGGCTCTCAGGCAATCCCATTTCCTTTTCTGAAAGATTTTTCAGAAAATTATGGGGTCAAGTTATTTCAGTTATTTTCAGACAGTTTCATAATACTGGATACCTTAGGAACTAATAAGTGGGACAAGAGAATGAACTGGTTAAGAAGAAAGAAAACTCCATTTGTAGCTATCTCACATATTGCAGTTCTACATAAAATATTACCTAGAAAAAGCTTAAAAAATTCCTAGACTAGATAGTCTGCAAGGGTCCTTCCATGTTCAAAATTATAGCAGGAAATCATTGTACAAATAAGGCCAAAACATGAGCAACGAATTATATCTCTTTTAAGTAAATGTTATAGGTTTTCATAACCTGCAGCATACTGTATTAGACACTTACCTGGGAGAACATGAGCCCATGAAGTTCCACTATCAAACCAGATGTCCAGAATATCCTGACCTGGCACGTATTCCAAGGCATCAGGACCACCAACCTAATCAGATAACGTAACAGCATTGGCAATCCCCCAATCAGCATACACACAGGAAACACCAAAACAGTCTTAAGAAAATAAATTCCAACCATAACATTCAAGTTTTTAAGTGAAATTGAAAACATTTCACAGTTAAGTACAGCTGCCTCCATTTGCGATCAGTTAATAATTACACATTTACTGGTAAAAGTATGAACTGGCTTTTATTTTCTTAAACTTCCTATTTGAATTTCTTGTGTGTGATGCAACCCGTTAGCTCTTATTCAGACCCCACAAAGTCCTTGCTGTAGTACTAGTAGGGCTTATGTACTAGATCCACTAACTTCACACAATAATAATTCCTTTCAACCCCAAGCATCTTGCCGATAGTCATTAAGTCATTTCACACACCCAGGTGAATAAACACAAACAAAAATCTACCTGAGATAAGACTTCACTTGGAAGAAGCTGCTCAGGGGGAAGAGTCCACCAGATATCGCTGCCATGTTGTTCCACTAGCTTAATAATATGCTCAATGGTTTGGCTGTTTGGGAGACAGTAAAGGTAGAAATGTGTTATTAAATTATTGTGACTAATAGTGATATTTTTAAAATTATGAAATAGCAGTAATATTTTGAGCAGGGGTATCAAGTCCACTCAATAGAGGAAAAATAGTCTCTTCAACAAATGATTATAGGGCAGCCGGATTTCTATATGCAAAATAATGAAGTTGGACCCCTGACTTCATACTACATACAAAAATAAACTCAAAACTCAAAACAGATCAACCAACTAAAACCATTCAAACTCTTAGAAGGAAACACAAATAAGTTTCCATGACCTTGGATTGGCAATAGATTCTTAGATTAAAAAAACCAGAAGTAAAAAAAAACAACCCAGAAGTACAAGCAAAAAAACCCTTGATACATCGAACTTCATCTAAATGTTTTGACATTTGTGACTCATAGGGTATTATCAAAAGTACAGAGAGTCGCCACCTGATGTCAACTAAGTCCACATGGACGAAGCACGTCAACATCAATGAACTGAAGGATTGTAAATCATGTAACCTGTAGCCAACGGTAGGAATAGTACCAGAGCCCAAGTTGTGAGATTCTGGCTTACAGAATACAACGGACGACAGTGAGAGCCCGAGACATGTTTGTGAGATCTACTCAGGAAGTAAGTCTATCCGGTGATTTCCCTCTCTCCGTAATGGAGGGATGGGAATAAATTTGTTATGGAGAGATGCCTGTAGGAGATCAAAATGATAAACCAGACTTGAACAGTGAAAACCTTGACAGTTGCTCCCCCTCTGATCATGCTGGAATTGATCTGGTTTTTGTTTGTTTCATATTAGGCTTTAGTGCTGATGTCATTGGGGTGGCCATCTTGAATTTTGTTACATGTTTTTCTGGTAGATGAAACCCAGGACTGATGAACCCAGAGACAGCAAGCAGAGTCCAGGTTCCCAGGGGACACAGTGGAGGAAGGTGGCCGGAGGGGGTAAGGGGGTGGTGGAAATAAAGGGGTGCTGGTATAATGGTGTTCAAGAAGAGAACATTTTGAAACAGACTGTGGTAACATTTGTGCAATACTGCTTGATGTGAATGCTATGATATCTGTATTAGCTCCCCAAGAAATGGTTTAAAAAAACTGAAAATATGCAGCAATATTTAGTCTTTTAAAAAGTACTAATACAACATACAGAATGAGAGAAAATATTTAAAAATCACATATATATATTTAAGATCATTTGATTGGGGGCTGTTACAACTCTTACAACAGTACATACATCAACTGTACCAAGCATATTTGTACATATGAAAATTCTTTATCTGATAAGAATTTAAAATCCAAAATATATAAAGAACCCCTAAAAGTCAACAAGCTAAACCAACTAAAATTATGCAAATGAATTGAGCAAACATTGCTCCCCAAAAGTTATCCAGATGACCAATAAGGACATGAGAAGATGCTAAAACCTGTTAGTCAGTAGGGAGATACAAGTCCAAACCCCAAGAAGGTATCACTTCACAACCACGAGGAAAGCCCTTCTCGTATACACACACCAAAACAGAAGACGAACTGGAACCCTGTATATAGCTGGAGTATGAAATAATGTGAGTTGAAAACAGTTAGGCATTCCTCAAAATTTGAAACAAAATTACTATAGTACCCAGCAAATCCATTCCTAGTTATACATGCAAAAGAGCTAAAATCCAGACACTTCCACACCACTGTTCAAAGCAGCATTATTCCCAATGACCTGAGGTGGAAAACTTAACAGTGCATCAGTAGATAAGCAGATTCACAAAACATAGTATATACAATAGAATATCATTCAGCTGGTAAGAAAACTGAAGTTCTGATACATGCTATGACATAAATGAAGTTTGAAAAAACATTATGCTAAAGTGAAGTAAACCAGACACAAAAATACAAATATTGTATGAATCAACTGAAACGAGTCCTCTAGAACAGACCTCTAGAATAGCAGGGCACCATCAACTTTCTTCACATTTGCTTATGCACACACTTTGTCTTCAGCGATTGTGTTGGGAAGGTGAGCATCATGGAATGCCCGGTTAATAGAACAAAGTATTCTTGCATTGAGGGAGAACTTGAGTGGCAGCCCAATGTCCATCTGCTACCTTAACACTAAACCTTTAAATACATGTACATAGGTCTGTTTCCCCATCATCATACATAAATATATTTACATATACATACGTAGATGCCTGTATTTAGACCTCTATAAATGCCCTGAAGGCTAAACATGACAGTGGGACAAGAGGAAAGTAAAAGGAAAGAGTGTAATTCTTGTTTTTTTTCTTTTTCAGTGTGGGATGGGGGCGCTGGAGCCTGCAAGGAGCAAGCTGGTCCCAAACTTCTCCAAATCCACATTTCTTTGCCTCCAATTCTTACGTGTCCAAGGACAAGGAACCACAGACACGCCTTTGTAGGAGGACAGCAGACAGTAATTCTAAATGGAGTAGAAAACCTCATCTATCTCCGCAAGAGTAGTTGGTGGTTTCGAACTGCTGTCTTTGCGGCTAGTACCCATTGCATAACCACTGTACCACCAGGGCTTCTGAAGAAGTCCAATAAATACATATCAAATGAATACTGAAATTGGTCATATTCTTTTGGGAAGATATAACTTTATATGATTTTGAAATTAAACTCAAGATAAATTTACAATAAAGTTTCTCACACTTTTAATTTATTATACTATTTAATCAGAGATGTTCTGACAACTTTGTCTAGTTCAGCGGTTCTCAACCTGTGGGTCGCAACCCCTTTGGGGGTTGAACTACACCTTCACAGGGGTCGCCCAGTTCCTAACAGTAGCAAAATTACCGTTATCAAGTAGCAATGAAATTTTGAATTGTCTCATTTTCACCACACCCTATTAATTCAAGAGACTAAGCATTAACTCTGGATCCACGAGCACCAAGGAAATAGAGAGAATGCTAGAAGGGAGTAAGGTCTTCGTCTGGACCTGCTTCTTGTATTAATTCAAGAGACTAAGCATTAACTCTGGATCCACGAGCACCAAGGAAATAGAGAGAATGCTAGAAGGGAGTAAGGTCTTCGTCTGGACCTGCTTCTTGTCATCATCAGCATGGAGGGCAAATCGTTTCACTTCTCTGGTCTGATTTTTAAAAGTAGGGGAAGCAATATCAAATGGTTAATAAAAAACTGTGCTCCAAATTAAGATTTTTAAAGCAAGATAACACAAAGTTGGCATATTATGACAGTGAAAAAGTATGATGTTACTAGCTTCCACTCTGAAGAAATTTAAAATAATGTAAAATGAACACAAGTCTGTATTTCTAAGACAGCTATTCATTTTAGATGAACTTTAGCAGTAAAGATAAATTTATGTGATATAAAACCATAAAAGCTGTGCAATCATTATCTACTCATATGGCCGCATTTAGTTAAATATTACTTTTTATAGAACATTTTATCAGTTAAGAAATATGAAATCACTACAATAGAAAATGCTGAATAAATGTAATGTTTTATTATCCACAAATGACAAATTTTTAAAGAGAGAACTATACAAAGGGCTTTTAAAAGTGCAAAGGAAATTTAATAATGCTTTATCTCCACTTGCCCACAAACTTTTTGAAGCCATCATGCTAGTAAAGTTTTTATACATACACAATTACTATGACCACAATCTTCAGTCCAATAACGAAATTTCCATCAAAAACACTAACTGTAAAAACAGCGATCATTTTGTTTTTATTTTTTCACAATGTTCTCATTAGATCAGCAATTTTAGGTAAGTAGTATAGTGAAACTAGAAGACTTAAACTCAAGTGTACTGAAAACAAACATAAAATATCAGGAAAACAAAAGCAAGTAGTTAAAGATCTCACATTTATTCAGAAAATAAAATATATTAGGACTAATGTTATTACTAATCAAAATAAAAGCAATTATATAATAAAAGCACACAGTATACTTTTCTAACTGGATTCACAGGTGTATATAGACACATTAGTAGCTCTTGATGCATACCTGTGCCTCAGTCCCTTAAAACAAGACCATGAGCGTGTTACAGAATTATAACCAGGCCTTGAAAACTATGTCTTCAAACATCATGTCCAATGCCATGTTTGTTTCCTTACTGTGCGTGACTTATCTAGAAGGCCACCCTAGTACTTGTGAACTGACAGTCCTATTGTCTGTGGTCTGTTGAAGAAGGGCAAAGAGTCTTATGACTTACATCATAATTAAAACCACACACCAGAGATGAAGCTGGATAGCTGGAGACTGGCAGGAGATTAGTGTGTTGACAGAGCTCAGCACTAAGTCCAAAGACCAGACTCTGCCTTGACTTATTTAGACAGTGATAAGAATAATTCACATTATTTTCCTGAGCTTCAGTTTCTATGAATACCGGGAAAAGCTTTGATAAAGAAAGGCTATGTGAAATAAAGTTCTTACAGAAAGAGAAAATCCAATTGCTATATTCAGTAAAATTAGACCCATAGATGATAGTAACACATCATTTTAGAGTTCTGAATTCAATCCTATTAAGAATATGTTGTCTTTTACCCTTATGCATGAAATGATTCAATTAATTTTTAAAAATTCTGTTTTCAGCACTACTTAGCTATACTAAATTGTTACTGAATCTACAACTAAAAGTACCAAAGATTCCCAGTTTTGCTGTTGACAGTTAAAGCAACTGTAAAAATGCTGTCAAGTCAAAAACCTCTAAAATTCAATTTTCATTTCTACTTTCCTTATGAAACATACCAGTAATCTATACAATATGATTTAGTATAAAAATAAATTCAGTCTCTCATTTTTTATATACTTTACTTGCAAACACACACAATTGTTTTTGTTTTTAATAAAAAAGACCTTATTCGGGTGAGGAAAAATGTTCCTCTGACTTTATATTCTCTTGGTTTATTCAAATATTTCTTACTAAAAAAAAATAATATAACAAGACAATGTCATTTACACCACTGAAGAACAAACAATCCTGCAGGTTTCAATTTTTTAAATTCCAATTTC